TATCTCGCAGGTAGCTCAATCCCCTCCTCGATAATCGAACCCTCATTGCTGCTAGAAGTTAGGCTAGTAGGTATATGATCATCCAACTTCTCAACGCCAGTAGTGTTAGGCTTGGGCGGTCCGACAACTTGGCTGACCTTGGCAGCGTTAAGGGGTCACTTGGCCTTTTTCCTTTGGCCCTTTCTGTTGCGACACCTCTTTATAGGACCCACCATCCTAGTGGGCGTGAATAAGGTTTCAGGAACTTTGGATTCCTTTGCCTTATGAGGTTCAGGATGCCCATTATAGGTGGTCTTTTCCTTCACTTGTACCGTCATCTATGATACAACAGAACGCTTAAAGAAACTCAAGGTTTTCCCTTGTTTGAGATCCGAATAAGATAAATTGGAAATCTTAAGGGACTGATTATTTCTCGATCAATTGAGGAAAATATGAGATTTCCTTGGTCCCTTGTCCATATCATGTCTAGAATCCTGGCTGTTCGGATGGCTAGTAGCATCACCGTCCCCCCTTTTCCGAAAGGGTAAGGACATTGGATGTAGTGATAAGGCTCTCTACCATCATCTCATTAGCAGCACCCATGGTGGGTAAGGCTGTAATATCATTCTGAGCATCGCTATTAGGCAACCCGAAAGAGTCTAGACTGATAGAGGGGTTGTTGATCTTCCCTTTTTTTGTTGAAAATGATGTGGGGTAACTCGGATTCCTCAGTGCCCCTCTTTCCCTTGATCTTGCTAGCTTGTCTTCTCAACCCCTCCATCTTCTCCATCTCGCGAAGGATGTTCAGATTTTTAGGCTCATTCCTGGCTGCTTTGCCAAGATCTTCATGGGCCTCTTCGAGCTGATAAAGCTTGAATTCAGCTAAAGCTCTCCTGTAATGGGCTTTAGTATTGTTAGCATCAAGCATAATGACTAATGAACAGAGCTCCTTAGTCTGTTCGAAATCCCGGACTTTTAGGGCGCAAGCTACGAGGCTTAACTCAAGGGAAATGGCAAGATTCCATAAAAAGGCACAATCATCTTCATCTCTTTGTAGACAAAAGCACAAAAGTTTCAGCCCTCTGTCATACTTAGCCCCAGCAAGAACGACTTCACCTTTGCGGAACTAAATATTGCCCTCCTCCTTTAAAACTTTTGCTTAATTAAGGATGTTACGGAGACAATTATTATTAGCAAAGTTGACAATGCTTTTGTCAAAATCATTATTCAAGTGGGTGTACGAAAGGAACTCAGTAAATTCCGGCAGTCCATAACAAACTCTCTAACCCGAAAAGGAAATGATTAACAAATTCATGAAAGGGAAACACACAAACATTACCAACACAAAAAGCAACAAAGTGGAACAAACCCTGATTCCAGGTCGCAATCAAGAAGGATTGAGCAGAGCTACAACAACCAAGCTCAACCACAAACCAACACTATAACATAAAAACAAGGCTGCCACAGAAGCAAAAGAGGGGCTGATGTAGTCAATTGGTGGTCGAACCACCACCCCAAAAATAGAAACCTTGCTGGCATAAAAAAGAGGAACAGCTAGGGGTGACAAGCCGACGCGAGAAACCGGCTAGTCCTAGACAAAGTCGATGGGTGATCGAGATCGCCACTCGGCCCGTTGATCGGATCTCCCTCACAAGCTTAACACTCCTCGACCAACGAGGGCGTAGGGGAACCACGATCTGGGAGGAAATGGACTCGCCGTTGATCGAGAGGGGGGACCACTTACTCATATCGTCGGCGGCCCGCCTGGGTTGGCAGAAGGGGGTTGGTTTTCGAAAACTAAGGGCTGATTTTTGAAAACTAGGGGCTTGAAGAAGTATTCTGGTTTTGGGGCTTGCGCGTGGGGCGCGTTCTAGATATATTTTTTTGAATGTTATTCTTAAATCAACCGTTTTTATTTAAGTTCATCACTTTTTAAATGTTTATGTGCATTACATTGTAAGCCTTAACAGATATTCCCTTTTGATTTAAGTCCATCACTTTTTAAATGTTTATGTGCATTATATTGTAAGTCTTAACAGATATTCCCTCTGTCCCTATTTTTTTTTTTTTTGCCCAATTTGACTTTTCACGCTCTTTAAGACGTGTTTTAAAACATATATAACTTCATTTCTATACACGTAAAAATTATAAAAACTTGATATTAATAAAATATACAATGAGACGAATCTAACAAGACCTCAAATGACTATATTATCTCTTGTTGATTAATGGGAATTTATGGTCAAAGTTTTTACAGTTTGACCCATTTATTTGCAATGGGGCAAAATACTAAGGACAAAGGGAGTATTGTTTAGTTCACCTTATTTTTTTATTTATCAGTGGTCAAACTTTGACCTTATGTATGCGATAATCTATAAAGAAGAAAATATATCAAGTTGGATCTTATTAGATTCGTAATAATGTGTATTTTTTGAAACAACGTAATAATGTGTATTTTATTAACATGTAATTTTCCAAAATTTTAAATTATGAAATTAAAGATATTTAATGATAAAAAAAACCACACATAAAACGATAAATTATGTCAATTTTTTAATTTTATTTTATTTATTTTATTTATTTTATTTTTTTATCTGAACTTATTTGATATGATCTAAAATAAGTATAAATAAGGTAAACTAAACATGACCTAATATAGTAATAGCTTTGTATTCCATATGATAATATGGTCATCCTCGAGTCAATAATGGTATCAGGTTTCTAACTGATCCTTCGAACCCTTATCTCCTCCTCTCATTTGGCAACCTCTTCACCGACAAGGACCTCCTCCGCAAAGACCACCTCCTCTCCTCACCGCATTAGCTACCTCCACCGTGTTTCACCTAGCCTTAGCTTGCTTTGGATGTCTTCTTCGGCTCCTACTATCGTGCCTTAAAGCAGATTTTGGCTAAGAAATTAAAGAGGAAGGGACTTTACGATGAAGACTATCTTGGGCTATGTTACTACAAACTATTTTTTTCCTTTTTTTAAATCTACACTGTTTGATTTTTACACTTACTAATGAATCAGTTTAAATATGAATCCTTTTAATTACATTAGATAATAATTATTCCCTCCGTTTTTCTTTAAAAGCCACACTTGTCATTTTTCGTCCGTTTTAAAAGCTACATTCTTTTATTGGAAACCTTTACAATTTAATAATACTACGTATATCTTTATCCTCTAATGGTCCCTACCCACTCTTACTTAATCGTTTGTCACTCCTCCAATAGTCCCCACTCCCTCTCATATTACTTTACTTTTCAATAAAATAATAACTCATTGTCTTTTCTTATAATTTTTTATTACCTCATCTACCCTACTAACATCTTATTTTATTAAACCTTCTAAAACTCCCTACAATCCAAACTCTAGCTTTAAAAAAAAAAAAAAGTGATGCGCGGAGTTTTAGGAGAGTAATATAATATGATGAGCGAGTGAATAATTTATTATAATAAAAGTAAGATGGGGGTCATGAAAGATAAATATGTGAGAGAGTAGATATTTTTATTATATAAGTGGGGATCATGGGGGAGAGAGAAATAATAAAATAATTTAAGTGGAGTTTAAAGTAACAGAGAAAAATGATAAAATATAGTATAAAAAGTTATCAAATATAGAAGTATTACACTTAAAAAAAACACCCATAAAAGAAAAGTGATGCATTAAAAAAAAACGGATGGAGTAATATTTTGAAAATTTATATTGAAATAAATTTAACATGACCCCATTTGATTACGGTTTTCATTTTGTAAAAGTACAATGGTACAAGTCACCCACGATGGTCAAAGTTAAGTTCATAAATTTAATGTAACAGTACAAATCGTGTGTGTATTAAAAAAGAACAAAGGTAATACAGGGTAACCAAGGTTGTCAGAATTGGGATCCTACTTTAGATCGGTGAGAGGAGTAGGATCGAATACGTAAAATTGGGTCGTAGAATCGTAAAGTCCTACGAAATTGATAAAAGGGGTAATAAAAAGGTTGCTACATCAGCAGATAACATTTTTTAAGCCATAAAAATGCTAAAATTTATAGTTTTAGTAGTTGGATAGTATTTTTCTTAGCTTAGAGAAAAGTTTGATTACTTTAGGCTCAATTTAATAAGTAAAAAGTAGGATCGTACGATCCTAACCGATTTCGACTGATCCTACACGATTCTGTCCGATCCTGACCGATCCTGTACAATCCAATAATAATACAAGTGAAAAGCAGGATCGTTTGATCCCACCCAATTCTATACAATCCTGTACGATCCTGACCGATCCGATAGCGATCCTGCATGCGATTCGAATCGTTTGGCTAAAATACGATCCTAGGTCGCATGATCCAACAATCTGGATCGCGATTTTGACAACAATGAGGGTAACAACTTAAACCGAATGGAGAAAATACAGTATTGTTATTAGAGATTATTATGATTTGAAGTTTCGGTCATGAAATTGCTTAATGAGTCCATATCATGACCAAAAAAATTATAAACAGGGAAGGGGGGTGCCCAACCTTTAACAAAGATATAATTAGTACCAATATAAAGCATGACATATTTCATGGATCGATTAGGCATCTTCACCTTAAGGCATTTTCTGGAAATAACTTTTTTAGATAATGATTAGCATATTGACCTTGCCAAATTTCAACTTAACTTTGAAACAAAGTCAGATTGTCAGCTTTGTCCAATAAGGCAGTAATGTTTTAAGGTTGCAAAGTTTCAAATAGTATTTTAAAATAGCTTTCGGAGGTTCAGACTTTATAAATAGCATTTTCTGTCCCCATTTTATTCATGTCTACGTCCTTATTGTCATTAAATTATAGGATAACAAAACAAAAATGTTGAAATTTATAGACTAGATAAGCATCTGAAAAAGTTGCCTACTTTATTAATTCACAAAGTTCAATGCACATATGATGAAAAAAAAAAACATGGTAAAATCTGAAAAAATGAAAAAGAAATTTGTATAAACATGAGAAAAACCATACAAAACAAAATTTCTAAGGTCGTAATACTTACTTTCAGAATATGAAGCAAAGAAAAGGCTGGATCTCAATTCAATATATATGCAATTTCTAAGCCATAGATACATACTCGAGATTGGGATGGAGGGTAGTATACAAGTAAACTAAGAGTTCATATACAAATTGAAACAATCAGAATAGCATACTTAATACGCGATCAATATATTGTAGAATTTATAATCCGCACAACAATTCTAGTCATTTTTGATCCACTGAATGTCAAATTATCAGCACCCACTAACTCTCCTCTCTTAAACAGCCTTTCTATTTGTCTCACCTCCTCATCGGTACACTCCTCCACAAGCAAAAGACAAAAACCCTCAACCCTAACTGTCCTTTCCATCTCAGCAATAAACCGAGAGGGAAACAAAGCAACGTCAAATTGAGCAGAGAATGCGAAATCAAAAGCATCATCAAAGAAAGGCAAATAGTAAGGGTCAGCACGACTAACGAGTGGAGGTGAGTCAACAAGATCAATGGCTGTAACATCAGACACGCCGATTTGTTGAAGAGCCATTACTTCCTGTCCAGCACCAGCTAAGAGGCAGAGGGACTTGGAAGAGTTAGAGAGGATAGAAAATTTGTGAGAAGGGTTATTCTTCTGGGCATCAATGAAGACACGAGAAAATGACTTAACTTTGTTCAGCCATGCAGAAGTTGACCAGAGGCGATGGTTCTTCTTCTCAAGAGTGGAGAAAGGGCGGGGGTGATGATGAGAATCACAAGTGGAGTGAGGAAATTTGAGAGGGTTGTGAGGAGACAAATGGGGAATACAAGTTTCTGGTGGATGGAGGAGAATGGAAAAAAGGATGACGGTGGCAATAGTAGAAACAATTAGAGAGATTCTGTTTAGGAAGGCTTGGATATGCAGCTCCATCTAGATTTCTTCTGATTTTCCCTCAAGTCTGGAAAATTTCTGAATGAAGAAACTTTTGCATATCTATCAGAAATAAGCCATTTTCTTATGATTACTTTCTCATCTGATCATATGACCATATCTTCTATGATGTCCATTGCTCAGCAGCTAATTGTTGTGTCTTTCATACTGTAATCTTGCACTTTTCTTTCCAATTTTCTCTTGGATATAGAAGCACCTGCATGTACACTCAAACCTTAAACTTCAAAATTTGAATATGAGTTTATAAAAAATCTCTGTCTGAAAATGGTCACATTACTAAAAGATCCTTAGAATAGTTAAAACCCTGTCACTTTTCCCATCACACGATTTTAGAGGCATTTAAGGAAGCCCAAGCATAAACCATGACCATTTAATATAAAAGTAACAAAACATTCCAGACATCCTAAAACAGTTTGTGACTATTATTTCCAAGTAGAGGGAGTTTATGAAATCAATAAAAACACCCTTTATATCTGATACAGATGATATTCCCCCAATCAAATGAATCCTCGGAGAAGTAACAGTTTGCATGATGAACTTTAATGATCAAGAGAATCCTTCCCCTTCAACTTGTGATCGAAGCTTAACTAAGAAGTTGATTCTAAACATCTAACAAACAGTCTCTCTAAATAGTTTCTTAACATGAAAAAAAGTACCTTTCATCTTTAGCACCCCAGACCCTATATTCACGATTAGCACTAGCTAGTTGTTCATGAAGTTGTATGCACACTTCACTGTTTCCAAATTATACCTACAAATAATTAGTCTAAACTATAAACACTCAATACTTTTGTAGTTGCTAGAGATTATATTTGCAACAAAGATAACAGCAATGCAACAACGCCAATAATGCATCCCGTTAAAGGCTATGTCTTGGAGGATAGAGATATATGGGAGTATGATGTGTAGATGATATTTTGCATATAAATCTCAAAAATCTGATTCTAACCACCAAAAAAAAGTTACTTTTAAACTTACAAAAATTCACATAGTTGGTAATTCTCCTTAAATAACAGTCTATTAGTTTCTTGATTGAATTGAACTACTCAGTATTACATTGATTGAATTGAACTACAAAAGTTCACAAAATTGGTATTTCTCCTTAACATATAAACCAATATAAGTAATATCAGTTATAGCCACCTGAAGAGCACATTTACTCCAAATTCACGCGATCACGGCATCACGCCTTGCATTTTATTGGCAAAATGGCAAGCCCCAATTCCATCCAATGATTCATATAAATGGATCAATAAATTTCCATCCAAATAATACTGAAACTAACAGAATTATGATCAAATTTTATGATAAAACACAGAAACATTATCATTGATCCCCAATTCATTATCCATTCATCCCTAAGTAAAGGCAAATTCAGCATAATCTACTGCAATTACAATCATCCTCAAACACTCTTTACACTCAAATTAATCCCAAAAAACTTCCAGCTTTTAGCTTAAACCCTAATCCAACATCAAACTAATCAATAATGTGCACAAATCTAAATCAATCAATGTACATTCTGTGATTAACAATAGATAATTAAAATTTGACATATAATACAGAATAAAAAAGAAACCCCTAAATAATGAAATTTGCGATTCCAATTAAATACTGTAATTAAACTCAGAAAAGACAAAGTAACATTACCTGGAATCTGATAGTATACAGCACGGCGGCGATGACGGTGGTGATGGCCGTAGGTGGGCCCTTAACACGGCGAAGATCCGAACTTACGAAATTTTTTTTTTTTTTTTTGGGAAATCGGATGGCATAAATTAGATGAGTGTAGAAATGGATTTCAAATTTTCAATACTTAGATCCACGAAATGATGATTTGATGGACCAATTTTATTGGAAATCCGGCCCATTTTAGAATCGTTTAAGTGGGCCGTTTGGTAGTTAAAAAATACTGTATTTGTTTGTTCATGGTTCTTAAATCCTGTCACGATTTTAAAAAGGGACTGTGGTGCTTGTATCGTGTGTGCTAACATATTTGGTACGTAAAGCTGGGCATGGGCCGGGCTGGCACACGGGCTGCCTGGCACGGCACGCTAGATGGCCCGTCCCGGCACGAGCACGGCAGCGGCATGACATGGCATATGGAACGGTTGGTGGGCCGTGAGCCGTGCCGTGAACAAAGAAATTGAAATTTGGCACGAGCACGGTGGACGGCACAAACATCGGCCCGTCGGCATGGCCCGCCAGACACGATACTTTTATAATGAAATTAATATTTTTTTAACAAAATAATAAAGCAAATATTAAAAATAAATAAATAAATGGGCGGTACGGGGGCCGGCACGACACGGCACGCTAGGCACGTGGGCCGTGTTGTGCCGTGGGCTGACTTGTGGAAATGGCCGGCATGACACGGCACGATCGTGCCAGCATGACGGCACAACATGGCCCGCCGTGTGGCTAGGCACGACCGGCACAGGCCACGGCGGCATGGCACGGCACGGTGCCCAGTTTTATTGGTACGGAGTAATGTTCTTTGAAATTGTCTTCCGTCAAACAAAATGGAACCTTATGTTTGACACTAGTATTGTTTGTAGAAAAAGACTTGTAAGTGTATATACTTTACAAATACTACGTATATAATCACTTATGCACTGAAAGTTGCAAACTTTAATGTACGGAGTAAATCTGAGTTTTATTATTATTTGGTCTTGTACTCTTGTCAAATTTTTGAGTCTAAATGAAATTTATAAGAAATTGAATTAAAATTTTGGATCAGATTGAATTAAAATTGAACGTCCTGGAGTTTAATTGAACTACTAGTACTTTATAGCATAACACACCTAATAGCTCAAAAATGTTGAATTGCATATGAAATAGCTCAAAAATGTTGAGCTCTATTTGAATATGATATATCCAATATACAACCCTAATCTTATACATTCGTAATCCAAATATTCTGAGGCAGGGTTCTGATTAAAAACCTCATCCGAGAACTTGTGATCATAATTGATTACGTGTAATTTTTTCAATTGATATATTTAGGTTCTTTTCAATTCATTGGTAGGTTAGATTGATGATGTCACTAACTATATCCATTGAATGCATTTTTTTTTCTTGTGCTGGATACTTTGATGGGTGTCCAATCACAGGGTATGTATGATTTTACCACCTTTTTTTTTTTTTTTTTTTTTTTTTTTTGTTTTTCCTATTTTGAGAAAGATAATTAATTAGTTTCTAAATCATCTAGTCTATGATGTGTGTGTTTCAGTGTTTCACCAAAAGTCAAATATGATGACACCTCTATTTTGTTTCAACAACCTTATATTGTGAACAAAGTTGCAACCTTAACTAACCAGTAAGGCAGTAACCATTGAATACAACTGAGAAAGGAAGACGAAGGAAAGACTCAAAGACAAGCGACAACCTCAATTATTGTAACTGAAGCACTACGTAATAAGTAAATAATTGAAAATTCATAACATCTTATTTACATGGTGCTACACCAGTATGGCAGTATATCAACATAGGCAAACACGAAAAGAATCTGACACTCCAAATGTCAATCACCAAGCTAAGCTTTAAGCGTCAAAACTATCATAGCACTGATTTAACATTTCTTAATTGAAAAGGTACACAAATTTATTAGTTCTCCTATCTTTACTGGAATCGTTATTTAATGATTCTTACCTTCAGGGCCGTCTCCGACAATTTAAAGGCTCTATGCTAATTTAATTAGGCCCCTTAAATTTTATAAATACCATTTTAAAAAAGGACTATAAAAAAACTTCTTTATACAAACTCCATACTAATATGCAAGTATTGAAATCGACTCTTGATCACTACCAGAGACATTAGTCCCCTTAAGTTTATCTTGCCTCAGTTGCCTAGCTATATGAAAATTTTGTCCTGTTTTTTTTTTTTTTTAATTAAAATAAATAAATAACGGATAATGAGTGAAAAGTTATAAATGATGTGTAATAAGATGAGTAAAAAGGGTTGGAACTTTTTAAAACATGCCAAAACGAAAAGTAAGTCAGACGCGGATTAAAAACAGGTTACGAAGAACATACTCCAAGGACAAATTAAGGAAAGAAACCGGCAAAAATTTGCTGTAAACCCAAATAAAAGCCAATGTCTAGAACATATACGAATGTTTTACAATTTGGTCACTCTATTATTATTGTAATACCTTTTCACCGTATTCTGCTGTAGTTTGTTTGACATTGAATATCAAATCCCCCGGATATGTCTTCCTTGCCCATTATTATAAAAAAATCTTAGGTTATCATCTTATCACTTTCGAATGATTAGTGTTACCATTATTAATTTGGTAGGGCTAAGTCTTCCATTGTGGCATAATGGCATATGTCATAGAATTAAATTAACCATATTCTTTAATTTGCTTCTAATATTTGACTTGAATTGATGAGCAAGAAAATATAGAAGATTCATTCTTTAGTAGAAACACTATTAAATTTGTGTGCTTATTAAATAGGTTAATAAGATATACTCACACTAATTTAGATTTTTACTTATTCAATGTTTGATTGTGATCCCAAATGGAATCATATATGTTACAAGTATCTTTACGATTTCACTCCTCATATTATTCGAGCCAGCGAACCCTAACTTAAATGATCAACAATAGTAGATGGTATGTCAAGAAAGGTTCATGTAATTTTAGATTAAATATGATCGACCTTAATATAAACTTCATCTGATTAAACAAGAGCGTGACAAATAGTATGAACCAAGGCAGCAGTAATAAGTTTTCGATACCTAAATCTTGACCACCCAAACTTATCCATTATATGAAGAAGATAACTAGATAAAAAATCTCTCTCACCAACCTACAAAAGCTTAACATCAACGTATCGATGAGTAATCAGAAAATTGTACGTAATATTGAACTGTACTCCGTATTATTTTGTACACATGTAGCTTAATTTGACAAATTGAATTTAGAGAATGATCATTATCATACGGTAGTGGTCCTTGACTGCAACCAATTGAATACAAAGAACGAAGTATATTATATAAATATAATGGTTCAAAAATTTAAAGTAACGCTACAATAAAGTCATGTGAATACAATATCATAAAGTATATTATATGATAACAATATAATATATGGTTCAGAAATAGTGTATGATTCTATTATCAACCATCTCTCTGTTGGTAAGTCATTCAATAATTTAAGACTAAAGTTTTTGCAATTATTTGAGTATGGACATTTGAAAAAGAGAATGAGGTTCTTCTAGAAATACTTCAAGCTAAGCTACGCGGAACATATTGCATGCTATTCTTTGCTAATATGTTCCTAAAATAATTGTTACACCCACCAACTTTTAATCTATTTTTAGTATTATTTTTTGGAATAATTATTGTCACGTTTTCTTTTACTAGTATAAGATGACTTTAATCATTTACCGTCTTAAACTCCTAATATTACAACTACAGTTGTTTTATATACAATTTTTTCAACTTTCTAGCCTACTCTATTGCCTTCTAGTAGTACGCATTAGAGCTCTTTTCACTTACCTCACTTGCCATATTTATACATAAATTGTACTTTGTATAAATGTAGTATTTCGTGTGATTCATATAAATTTCGGCATATATATGTAACAAATCATACAAATTGTGATTCTAATTGAGTAAACCTATTGTATATATTGTACGTCCATTACATGCATACAGGTTTTTACTTAAGAATTAAAGTGAAATACATTCTAACTGAAATAGTTTACTAATTAATTTTTTAAATCTTAAGTTAATCTTCATATATGTTTGTTTTAATCAACTAATAAATCTACCTAATTTTGTCTTGATCATAGAGTTTTAATGAACTACTCATCAATCCGAATCATATAAGATCATATACATGACCATATTTAGTCTAGTCACAATACAATTTTTTAATTATAAGAATATTGATGAATTATATCTTTTACATTTAAAAAAATTCATACGTTGAATATATGAATATAAATTTGAATGAAGCGGATATATTTTTTTACTGTCTCATTTATACCATTTCATTTATTGTACGTATACATTGTTTAATATATGAATATAAATCAATACGTACTATCCGCATAGTTCTAATGACTATAAGTGGATACATATAATAAAGCTTATTCCGAACGAACTACTTGTAGCTAGAAAAATAAGTCTTTCATTAAAACAGTGATCAATTGAAAGAGTAGAGTGTAATTTGTTTATGAATTTCCTACCACTTAGCTTACTTATGACTTTATGAGCAAGAAAGCAATTATTTTTGTAGCAAGATTCCATTAATCAAGTAATAATTAATTGAAGTTGTTTCATAGGAATGAAGTAATATCATAGCACAAGGGCAACGTGAAAGATTGATTAATTTATTATAGAGTTGTTTCATAGGAAGCATATTGCCAACAAGTAAGAAGCCGTCTCTTGAAAGAAATTAAGGCAAAGCGATAGATATAGCAGCCACAATAATCCACGTGGCACACCAATTATGACCACTCTTTTTTTTTTTTTTTTTTCCTAACTCTTGTCCAACCATAATTTTGTGCTTCTATTTCACTGCACTTGGATGATGTAGCATCCTCTTCAATAATGATTGATTTTTTCATCATGATAATTTAATTTGGCAAAAGAAGAAAAAGGTGCATAAATTCCATTGATAAACTTTTCAAAGGTTTATGCCAAGAATTTCATTGATTGCATGGATTCGTTTGAAAGTTCATGTCGAAAGTATAGGGTACAATATTTGCAAAAGCCAAACTATTTCAAGATTGTTAATACTAGTAAAAAAAAAATAATAATTAAAAATGTTACCAAATTAAAATTTATTGATTTATGAGTGTTTTAAATAGACTTAAAATCGTCACAATTTGAAATACCTAGAAAGAAATCGTGATCGAATTTAAGTTTTATTATTATTATTATTATTATTATTATTATTATTGATAGGGTGATGATGCTAAAAAAGTT